ACTACCTTCTATGTGTGCACTACTACGTGTGCAACCAGTGGTATGCGTACCACCGTTTGAGAACCCCCAATATACTTTAAAAGCATGTAGAATTTTGCTTCAGTTAAAAACCATTTCAAATGTTCTTGCCTCTGGTTAAGGAAAAATCTGTCTTATTAGATAAAATCTTAAATCTACACATCTTCTACACATATAATCTTCTACACATCTTCATCTTGTACGCATGTAAATTTACACCTGCATGTGTGCATATTCTACACATGTGTGATGGATCCAGTATCCTGGAACTGTTTCCATAGGTTACACACGAAGCTGGGCGTTAAACTCTCTGGATATGTGGACTTGCAATTAGCCAGCCTCTAGCCTCCCCACAATTCGCCACCTCCTTCCAGCATCTAAACATTGGTGGTTACTCATTTTTACTGTTCTGATGTGAAGTTAATCGATTGCTGCAAGATAACACCAAGAAATTCGCCGAGGTGTGCTAGCGAACGCAATTCATCTTACCCTTCATGTGCTTATAAAGCCTGTTTTTCTGCTGGCTCCGCCTACACATACATGTACGCTTACATATTTACCTTAAAACATTTGCATATTTATCTAGAAGCAGTGGTTTTTCCTTCAGTTCAGTTCTTTTCACGCAATTCGATAAAATATGCAAATTCTCTTAATTTATTTCACCAGTGTAGGCCAATGAGAAATTAAATTTTTTGAATGAAATTGCATCAAAATTAGATTGTAGTTTTTAAATGTGATTAAGCTTTGTTACACTTATTTTATGAACTGAATTGATACTTCATTTGTATGTACATTAACATAAATACATGGATACAAAGATGTGTAGAGAAAATTGTATGACTAAGTCCCTTTTGCATGGTTGGTTGTAGACCCACGATTTTGGTTTAACAAATACAGGAGGCGGATCACAAATACAGGAATTGTGATCATATTTTTCCATAGCTATTTTGATAACATTAAGCACTAAGAAAAAAATTCCTTTAAAATAGTTATGGAATTTAACTGATTTTTTATAAAAATATTTAGACACATATAAGTAAGTATTTTCACAACATTTTAATTAAGAAAATGAAAATGTTTGTTTATGAACTGTTCATGATGTTTCTGGAAATAATTTGACTGATGTATGTCTAATTTTAATATTTGAAAGGCCATTGTAAAATTTAAACAATATAGTAACTTTAGTTTGTTGTAAATTTTTTTATGGAATATTTTTTAATTCAAGGGAATAGAAGAAGTTCTGCAGAATTTGTTTTGCTTCTGAAGAAAGACTTGTGTGTGATCGCCGTCAAAATTGATAGAATTATTCAAAACTGTGTCACACTAAATTTTTTTTTTTGCCTAATTTTAAATGGTTGGCTAAAATTGAAACCAAGCTGCCTGGCTACTTAACCCCCAACTTGGCAACATTTCTGTGGCTGGCAATTTATGTAATCTATTTTGACCTTATCTGGTGAATTTATCTTTTATTTGGTGAGTTCAGTTAAAGATTTATTTCAATAATAGTTTGATTATATTAACTGATCACAATGAGTGATGTATTTTCTGTGTTTTTGTATACAAACAGAAGGGACTTTGGCAAATCAATAACAGTATCCAGATCATGACATGAACCACAATCACATTAACCCCTTAACGATCGGATAATTTTCAAGAAAACGGTCATAAAAGTGCCTGTTTTTTTTTTTATTGAAGAAAATTGCATGAAATAAATGTATGTACAATATATGCATTCATTTTCAATTTCTGGATTTTTTTTAGCTTGAAATTTTTAAAATATAAGTTTTTAGGAAAAGCCAACATTCAGGTTTATTTTGACTGAATGTTGGTTTTCCAGTAAGCCAGGAAAGTTTCAGAAATAAGTGTTTTAAACATTAAAAGAGAATTTTATTAAACTTACACATAATATAAACAAAGTAATTTTTTCTTGTGTGATAAATTTCAAAGCATGAGATGCAAAGGCAAACATCACAATCTGGATGGTAGTACAGAGTTTCCTTCCTACGTCTCTTATTGTTTTCATCTCTTCTGGAACAACAAACTTTGCATTCTCTTGATAGTTGCCGTTTCTTATCAGTTGGGGGTATCTGTCTAAAAAAATGTTTTTCAATCAAACGGTTTGGATTATCCTCCAAGCTTGGCCAGCCTCTTTTTGAAATGGTGTCTGATGACTGATACATTTCAATAAGTTCATCTATTAATGAAAACAAAACATCAAATGGGATTTTTTCCCGCCCTTTTTTTGTAAATAAGATACAAGTTCAAAATAGTTTGGTCTAACAAATGAAAAAATATTTTCTTATAATATTTCTTTCCTCTTTTTCAAGCAATAATCTCCAAGATACAATATCTACCGCTCCCATATTTTTATTGTAATCTGTGACAATTGTAGGTTTTTTGACAACTTTGTTATGACACTGTGCATCTACCATGTCATTTGTGTGAACTGTAGATAGCATGGTAACATTTTTCCACTCCATGGCAAGAACTTTACCTCGATGAAAAGCAACATTTTCACCTATTGCGGTTCTCTTTTTTACTGTTTCTTGAGGCATTTCTTTTCGGTTAGTTTTACAGTTCCATAAGTGTCTGTTTGAAATTTTAAAAGCTTGTCTAGCAGAGAAAAGCTAAAGAGCTAGCAGAAAGGTAGCAGAGGCTTTAAAAGCTAGCAGAGGCTTGATAAGTGACATCACAACTTGAACTAGTTGGGGCAGTTCTTTATATTTTGCATCAAAAACCATACCTTTCCCAGTATATATAATTTGTGACCATATATACCCTGAACTTGATTCACATAACAATTACGATTTTACTCCAAAACGGGATCTCTTTATCGGCCTATATTGTTGCCATCCTATACGACCTTTGTAAAGCATGAGGGTTTCATCAATTACAATATCACGTCCAGGAGTTAGAGCTCTTTGAAACAATTCATTCAGGTGCTGTAACACTGGCCAGATTTCATGCAGCTTGGGATTTGGATGTGTATTACAATCAAAATCTTCATCTACAAAATGCAGAAACTTGTGTATTTCGTAAAATCTATTACAAGGCATTATGCTTCTGAAATAAGGTGTTGAAATTGAATGTTTTTTTCTCCAATACATTTTCGTATCTGGTTTTTTTTAAATACCTTGTAAAATAACTATACTGAGAAATTTAAGACTTTCTTCCTTTGTGACAGGTATCCAAGGTTTTTTATTTTTGGATAGGCAGAATCCTGGAGAATTTTGGCATTGTTCGGCGTATCTATTTGTTTCCGAAACAATCAGATCCACTAAATTGTCATTCACAAAATACTTAAATATTGTAAGATGGATCAAATTATTGTAAGATGGATTAAAATATTGTAAGATAATCAGAACATGGATCAAAATTTATATTTACCTTTGGGTTCTCCAAAATTTAAAACGTGGGGGTGCATGAACTGCTGAAGTAGACACAATTTTATTCCATGATCTTCCAGGCAACAGTACAGATCCATCATCACTGCTCTCAGATTCTCTAACTGAACTTTCATAAAAATCAGTTACTTCAGAATCACTTTCAGATCCATTTATAATAATATCAGAATCCAATTCACTATCTGACTCTGACTCCATAATGTATGGAATAAAAATATAAGTATATTTTATCACAGAACAAAAACCATGTGCATTCATATTGAGACTAACTGAGCTAACGATAAAATTACAAAACACATAGCATAAATACACGTTTGATTAGTGCTGACATCTAGTTTAAAATAAACTTTCTCTAATTGCATAAAATATTATTCTAGTACTGCCATCTGGTGTGTAAAATGAGAAATAAATTTTTTTCCGGGCAAATAAAATGAATAGGTTTTAATCCTTTTAGCACGTTGTTTTTGAACTCTTCAGCCTGGAAAAATCACAGGCATGATAAATAGAGGGCAAAACCTCACCCCTTCATTTTGACGGGAGTGAGAAGGAAGGGGTTAAGCAGTGTCTAGTCAAATATGGTAGCTTTTCAGCTTAAGACAGTTTTGCCATTTTTATTAAAATTTAATTACAAAGCAGAATAAATTTTTATTCTTTTTTTATAGTTAAACATGTTATTGTTATTTATACATTTGATGCTTAATTTTGTTGTAAGAACAAAATTGGATATTTTAGTAGTTGCATTTAAATAGTTTATTCCACATTGAAGTTATAAATTTTATTTTTGACTTTTCTTAATATTGTCCAATTAGATTTCCAATTTTTAACATTGTCCTATTAGAGCAGTTCTATGCTTTTTTGCTGCAACATTTGGCTGATGCTTCCACGAATAATAATTTTTCTTCTTTTTAAATTAAATATTAATAAAAATAAAGGTATTAAAAAGAGTCTTACATATTTTTAATAAAAGGCTCATACACCAAAACTGTCTTAAACTGAAAACCTACCTTACTTGAGTAGACATTGTTTAATGTGATTGCAGTTCATAAATTGTTGGCATATGTAGTATCTTCTTCATTATGCATAAAACTGTATTTCAGTGGCATTTATGCCATCTGTATGAAACATCTTCAGAATTTTTTTGCACATTTACAGCATTTTAGGGTTTTGTTTTTATAACACACATTGCAAAGCTCTATGATTTGTAAGAAAAGTAATATTTTATGGGCTACTCTTGGATGATGCAGATGTGCAATTAATTGGAATTCCATAATATATGATAAAAAAATAATCATGCCAGGGTGTAAGCTTTTTGCATTTAGTTTTCAGTGTATATTAATAAAATAGTGTAAAATTAAGTATGTTATGCAAGTTAGAATCCTGAAGATAATAAAAAGACTCAGCAACTGAAAATAGTTCAATGAATTCCTTTAAAATAACCTTTGGAGAATTCTTATCACTGTTTTCACATATTGTTGCTTTGATTTTTTTAACAGCTTAATTTGTCTGAAAACAATGATTTTGAGTTATGCAAATAATTCAACTCAATTTTTAAAATATATTCTGCTTTTATCTTTTAAGCCAAATTATTCAGAAATTGCAAAGCACTGTAATTTGTGGCGAAATTATGATGATATTGAAGACTCGTGGAAAAGTGTTCTTTCCATTGTGGATTTTTATGCCAGTCGCCAAAATGAATTTGCAGCAGCTGCAGGACCAGGACACTGGAATGACCCTGATATGGTAATACAATAAGTATTTTTATATATTCTTACAGTTAATCCATACCTGAAACATGTAATAAAGACATTTGTTTTATTTGATATTTTTAGGATGTGGAAATACCTATTCTTGAAAGTAACTACAGTCAAAAAGTCTTTAATACGAACTTGTCGGGACTTCGGCGATTCCGGATTATCGGTTTTTCCGGGTTATAGATCATCAGTTTAAATCTGGTAAGATGGCATGCAGAAATTATAAAATTAAAAATATGAAACCATAATTTATGTAATAAATAGCAATTTTGATCTAAAGGGTATCAAAATTTACAAAAAAAAAAAAGCTTAATATTTATTTGTTTACTTTATTAAACATTTCTTTCAATGCGTGCATGCGTAAAGCATACATTACGCATAGTCGAAATTAGAAAATTGCAACCAGAAAACTATTTGATGTGTGTTCGTGATATTTATAATGATGAGGAATTTGATTTAAATCATATCAAAGACGGAGTACATCGGGATGAAATACAGTCAAAAGTTGTTAATTCGGACACCCATAATCCGGAATGATCTATAATCCGGACCTCAAAGCTAAAAACTTTCTGCGCATGCGCATAGGTGTTTACGCGTGCGCGTAAGACCTTTACGACTGCGCATATGTGTGTGCGCAAGCGCAGAATACGTTTTCACATGCGCGTTTTATGTATAACGGATGGTGTAAGGTAAAATTATCTAATTATCTATTTCAGTTAATGTTGATGATTGCTTTGTTCCTTAATCTTCGAATTGGATTCGGGTTATTATTTTTTGCATACTGTAAGAGCAATTTTATAAAAGTAAACTTGAATTTTCGATTATGTCAAATAGAATTTCTGATGCTGGAGCTCCCAAAGGATCTACAAAACGAAAGTATGTTTCGATGTCCATCAAACAAAAAGTGGAATTGCTGCAAAAAATGGATAAAGACATGAAGAAGGTGACAGAGAGGTTAGTGAAAACGAAAAAATTTGGATTGACAAGTTAGTCGGTATTCTCGTCACAGCAATTACGAGACTTGAACAGCGGAACTTTGTAACTGAACAAGAAATTATGTCTGTTTATAGAATTGAAGAGAAAATATTATCACATAAAACGAAGCAACTTAAACAACTTACATTGAAAGAAATGTTTAATAAAGTAAACAAATAAATATTAAGCTTTTTTTTTTTTGTAAATTTTGATACCCTTTAGATCATAATTGTTCTTTGTTTCATAAATTACAGTTTCATATTTTTAATTTTAGAATTTCTGCATGCCATCTTACGAGATTTAAACTGATGATCTATAATCTGGAATCGCGGAAGTCCCGACGAGTCCGGATTAACGACTTTTGACTATACTACATTTAGTAAGGAATGATAAGCCGAATAAAATAAAAACATCTGCCCTGAAGATAAAGATAGTGCTGACAGATCAACTTCCAGTTCATTGCGTGCCGCGTCGTTCCCCCCTCCCCCCGCAGAGCAGCGTGAAATTGATAAACATATTTCGGAATGGTTAGAGAATCAAAGGATATGCCTTTATCCAATTTTTGCAGCAATTCCACTTTTTGTTTGATAGACATCGAAACATGCTTTCGCTTTGTAGATCCTTTGGTAGCTCCAGAATCGGAAATTCTTTTTGACATAATCAAATGACAAGTTCAAGCTTACTTTTATAAAATTGCTCTAACAGTCTGCAAAAATAATAAGCCGAATTCAATTAGAAGATTAAGGAACAACGCAATCTGCAACATTAACTGAAATAGATAATTAGATAATTTTAACTTAGCTTATACCGTCCATTATACATTAAACGCGCATGCGTAAACGTATTATGCGCATGCGGGAACGCGTTATGCGTTGACGCATGTGCAGAAGTTTGTAGCTTTGAGGTCCGGATTATGGACGTCCGGATTAAATACTTTTGACTGTATTTCCCTTAGTTATGTTTTAGCCTCTAAAAGTTGCATAATATACAGGTCAAAACGTGCCATATATAATGCAAAAATATGTTATTATACACAGGATGATATGAAAATACTAATTAGATTTTCAAATACTTTAACTCAAATTGTAGTGTTAAGATACATTAGTGCTTTAATGAAAATGATATACAGTAAAATGCCACTTAGTGCAGGGATTATGTTCCAACAAAGTAGAGCACTGTATGAAATAGCATTAAACAAGGCCATCTGATCATTTAAATAATGAGGTTAGGGCAAAACAGGTATAAAATAAAAAATAAAAAAATGTTAGATTTTGTTATTTAAGTTCATTAAATATAATCCTTGCAAATATTGAAATATAACAAATGAATATGAATTAATAAATAAAATGTTAAGTTTAATATCTTAGATCATTCAGATTTTTTCTGTATTTCCAGTTTCCTGTCTTTTTATCAAGAAGGTGTCATTTGCATTTTTCTTTTGCACTCAGTAAAAAAATTATAGATAAGGGGACAAGGCATCCAAGACACTCCACCCTGTCTTGCCTTTGAACACTTATCAAAATCTGCATCATTTTCAATAAATAAGTCCATAATTTCTGTTATGGAAGCTAAACTGGTTTTTAGAAATGCTATTGAAAGTTATTTTTGCTCTTCTTCAGAATCTCTATTTTTAATATTTTTGTGTTCTTCTTGATTTGCTGCTTTCTTGAGCTCATCATTAGAAAGACTTCCTGCTTTTCCTTTAAAACTTCTTCGAGATCTTCCACATTTACTTCATCTAAACCTATTTGTTTCGCTAATTCCACTATTTTGTTCATATCAACAACAGAATCTCTAGTGTCATCGTCCTTCTTTAAATCAGACCAAATGTTTTTCCATACCCCTTTCAAACATTTTTCCATTACCTCATTCCAAGCAAGATTTATGTTTTCTATAGCATCCATGATATTATAGTTTCTCCAAAAATTTCTTATTGATTGTTTATCATCTTCATCTGCCCTTGCCATCAAAATCCCGCCCCCTTTTTTTGTAATTGCTGCACATCAGCTAGTTTCAAATTATGCATTGGCCCTTGTGGAATATAAGTTTGAGGCAACTATTGTAAAGTATCATTTTTGTAATACATTAACTTGCATTATAGAAATGGGCCATAAAAATTCATGGCAAAGGGAAAGATAGGGACATTGTATTTCATATATTTCCTAAGGACAATTTGCTTTTGGTGAAAAAAATGGAACCGTGTCGAAGACAGGTTTCTATTACGCTGAACAAAGCCAAGAATTTGCAGTGAAAATTTTCTATGCAGTGATTATAAAGATGATATGAAAAATCTTATGCTTGGATTGGGGCAAAAGAAACTTAAAATCCAATACTGTGCAAAGAAAAGAAAAATAATACAGAGAGCTTTTGAAGACCACGCGAATTAAGTTTGAAGAAAATTCATTTTGAGGCCGTACCGAAAATAATGATAGAAATAATAAATCAGATGCAAATGATTTTAAAATAGAACTCACAAATGATGATGTAAATACTGCTGAATGCCATAACTGTAAAAATAAACAAGAATACATTTTGATAACTTGTAAAAAACAAAGCCAGATCAGCATTTTAGGTAATTTATAATCATATATAATGTGAAAGTAATTTCATACAAAAAAGAACTTCCTCCTTTGCCTCTCATTTGAAAGATTAAGTAATTCTCTTTAGTTACTGTGAGCCAGATGAAGAAAAGGTAATGAATGCCATAGTTTTTTCGTTCATGATTTAACAATCAATGTATGGGAGGGGGAACCTGCAACTTCTAATAACAGTAAATCATAGCATTCTTAAACTTGTGCAGATCTTTGAAGGATTTTAAAAATACAAATTATAGGGTGAACAACAGACAGGGAAGCAACTGAAAAGTGTGCAGAGTTCCGTGGAAAAGGACAGAAAGGCAGAAAAATGTTTAAAACACGACAGCACTTTGTTCAATGTGCTGTTACCATTTGTTGCACTTTTTCTCTATGTTTATGTTGCTAATCATGCAGAGTTTAGGTATACTATTTTTTTCTATGTTAATGTATAGTATCCTTTTCTATTTCCTTAAGAAATTTTGTTTTATGATAATATATTTAGAAATTAAAAACTTCAATGTGCATTATTTTTATGTTTAATCATAAAATGTACTATTGGTACAGCTGTAATACTTTTGCCTGAAAATTTACAATTTTTTCCTTCAAAAAGCACAAGCCGGGTCTTTTGGACACGGTGTGCATGCATGTGAAACTCGAAACAGTGCACATGCTCCTGGATCAAACCAATTTTGACCCACTGAAAACAAAAGCTCTCAATTTCAGGAGCTGTATAAAATTTGAAGTATGCTTGATAAATTTTGAATATTAGCATTCCTGCCATTGAACATTTAAAACCATACATGTCCTTTTAGGTTTGCCTGATGTGAAAAGTGTGTTTCGAAATTTGTATTAAAAAACTTACATATATAGCTGTCTTTATCAAGGTCTGTGCAGGTTTTGCCAAATTTAATCAAATGATATATCCAAATTTTGGGAAGATTTGATAGTATGAGGATAATTTTTTTCATTATTTTATTTCATGGTTTCATCGCTTCATGCTTTCATTTATTTCATTGATATTGTTTCTTTTTCTTCATAAATTCTATATATATTTATTAAAAAGTTTCACAAGAACAAAATTCTCATAGTCAGAAAGTGTACTTTATTGATTAATTTCTTAAATTAGTATCCTTATTCTATGACTATTCGTTCAAGAGAAGCTTAGTTATATAACCTTTTAGAAATTCCCTATATATTATTTAAATTTTTGTGATTGTCATTCCATAGGTGTCTTGAACATACCATATTTGAATTTGAGATAGGAGGTCCACAGTTTGAAGCCTTGCATCTGAAATTCTTCATTGTTCTGCTAATTTTCTCTGTTTTATTTTATGTGGAAATTTATTAATAAAAATCTGTTTTTAAACGAAGAGCACAAAATGTAATATAAAAATTTCAAGAAGAGTGAATTTTTTTTGTCTAATTTATTGCATTTTCATGTTTTTTTTTATATACAGTTAATATTGATATTTTTTGCAGTTATGCATTGTAATTTTGCATTATACACTTTGAGCAAATAATGGCCTGTGAGAACCTAAATTGTTCTCTGTACAATTTTCCAAACATCATCTGTTTGTAATTATTTCTATATGTAACTGATTATATTTTTAAAAGTGTTTGCATACGTAAAAATTTTATGTGTGGTTTTGTGAGGAACTAGTCATACTGTTTGGTTCAAACTTTTCACCATACCAGTTAAGTTTTCACTTTGTTCCTTTCAGAATTTTTTTTTGCAAACAACTATTTGTGACAAAATAAAATGAAAATAAAAAATAACAAAAGATTTACATGAATTATTCTGATATTTTTGTGCTGAATTTTGTAAAGCAGAAACACCATAACTGATTTATACTGTCAGACATTGGGACATGCATAGATTCCAGAAAATTTCCAAATTATCTAATTTTTTTGTGGTCAGGTTATAAAAAGTTTTTCTTAGGAAACAAATCTTAGGAAACAAATTTACAAAACAAATTTCTTAATATTGTAGACTTAATGCAGCAATTAAAAAAGAGTCTTTCATATGTTCATTTTATGTTTATTAATTTTTTGGAACTAATAAAATGATGAGAAGCAAAATTAAACTAATGAAATAGAATATTTGTGAAAATCATTTGAATATAGTAATTATTTCACTGTATGAAGTATAATATGTTATTGTTTATATGTTGCAATATGCTGTTCTTTATTGTGATGTACAGTTATTTATATGTTGTTTGTTGCAATTTATGTAATTATTAATGCGATCTTTCTCTCATCAGATATTGGCTGGTAATTTTGGTCTTAGCTTTGAAGAAGCAAAAGCACAATTTGCATTGTGGGCTATCATGGCTAGTCCTTTACTGGTTTCAAATGATTTAAGATCTCTTTCTCCTACCATAAGAGAACTACTCACTAACAAGGAGATCATTGCTGTTAATCAAGATAGTTTAGGAATTATGGGAAAAAGAATTTATAATGTAAGAATGTTTTCAGACTAATCTTTATATGGTTTGCATTTATAAAGCATCACTGAGCATATATTCATTCTATTTAAGCTAATATTAAAATATTACAGAATAACTTATATAATATGTAATATAATATAAACATTTTGAAATTTAAATGTTAGAAACATAATGATTATAATATGCATAAGCAACAGATACAAAGAAAGTGTGATTTAATCTTTTCTTGGGAGTTACCTGTTTGAGAATTTAATTTCCTTATTTTTATGTGAGCTGAGTACTTGACATCATGATGAGATTTTAATGCCTGTTTTGATTCATAGATTGTATAATTTATTATTTCTGTACACTTTAAATTAGAACTTGAAAATACCAAAATATCTTAATCTTTTGTAAAATTAAAATTAACATGCATGCATATATTTACAAAGAATAAAAACTTATATTTTACATGTTACATCATTAAAAAAGGAACTGAAAATGAGTTCCTCATCATTAATGAAAAATTATCAATGCTGCTGTCTACAGTAAGGAGAAGAAGGAAAGTTCACAGTGTGATGCAATTATATTATTATAGAGAAGGAAAATAATTATAACCATATACAGTTATCATAACTCAAATATATTAACTTCTTAAATTTCATGTTCTTTATTCAACAAAAATTTCTTGATGCTGGACACTCACTGTGAAATATACTCTTCAATGAAATATAAACTGATGAAATACTGAAGTTTTCCTACCTTCAGCTTCATGCAGTAAGCAGTATTCTTTATTTGCCAATTACGTTCAGATATGTAATTTGTATAGGTGATAACACATGATTAGATAATTGATAATTAGTAAGTGTGCATATTATGTATATGCATATTATGCATAGGGACACAAAATATTTATGTAAAACTTTTTGACAGCTTAACAGTCAACCAGCGCTTGCACTGAAAAACAGACTGATGTAGTGGTTTCATGGCTGTGCATTATTGGTTTGGTGATACAATATGCACTTTCTACGGCCCAGACCTTGTTCTGATTCACAAGGTCACTAACACAGCTGTACGTTCATGGATGCTATATGACACAATTATTAACCATACTAAGAGATTGTGCTACAAGATGGCAGCAAAACTAGCAAAAGCCAGGTCTTGCACAAATAATAGAATTTTATTTTTATTTTGCAAAACTTTCATGAAACAATTAGAAGCCTATTAAATAACAATGATTAAAGACTATGTGCACAAATTAATCACTCTGAGAATGTAATTTGTTAGGGCAAAATTTATACTAATACTTACGTCAAATACACTCTTTTTCAAAAAAAAAAAAAAAAAAAAAAAAAAAAAAAAAATCAAAACACCATGAAGGAAGTGGTTGTTTTTGATGAAATTGAATATGTGTATAATAGCTCATACCCAGATAAAAAAAAGATTAAAAATTAAAGGTCATAGTACTTGTTCGCGGCTCACTTTCACCCATTGAGTGTTTAAATTAGTAGTTTTTCGAACTACCCCTGGCAGCAATGCATGTTTGGATTTGTCAAGACAAGGAGTGGTAGAGGTTACTAATGTCATCCTGCGACACATTCTGCCAGGCATTCATCAGTTATTGCTCCAGATCTGCAATATTTTGTGGTGCCCAAATCTGGTGGCCTACTATGTCCCGGAAATGCTCGATTGGTGAAAGGTCTGGTGACCTTGCTGTACAAGCAAGAGTATCAACCACACGGAGACAGTCCAGAGATATGCAAGCGGTATGTGGTCTGGCATTATCTTGTTGGAAAAGGTCCCAGGATGGTGTGCCATGAAGGTTAATGCAACCGGCCGCAGGATGGTATCAACATATCATTGAGCTGTTAAAGATGTATGGAGGATGACTAAATATGACCTGCTGTCATAAGAAATAGCACCCCACACCAGGAATTATGGCCGTATGCCTTTGTAAAACAAAGGCTGGTTGAAACCCCATCCTCTCCAGACACGAACACAGTGGTCATCTGCTTCAAGAGTGAAGGCAGGATTCATCACTGAACATTATACAATGCCAGTCTGACGGCAGCCATGCTGATCAGCTGCGGCACTACTCCAGACGACTCTGCCGATGTTCTGGGGTCAAAGGCAAATGTCTTAAAGGCCTTTGTGAGCATAACCGAGCCTCAGACAAATGGCGTGAGATGGTAGTACCACGGGAGGTACACGCTTTCATTCTTTTGTTTATATTTTCATTAATCTACTTTAAGATATATTACAAAGGATTGGAAACAGTTAAGAGATTTGAAGACATTACTTTCCCGAAAGAAAAGTTTAGAGAGCCACAAGAGTCAGGATTGAAGTTAAATCATAAACGAATAATACTTTATCCTTTATTTTGCATGGTTGTTCAAAAGCAACATGTGTTTTCACAATTTGCAGTTAAAGAATTAAACTGCAATATTTATTAGCAAAGCATTTCTTTCATTGGCTTAATGCAACAAACAGTGAAGCCACTTTTGAAATTGTATGCTCTTTCAAAAAAGAGGGTTTTCAATAAAAAGGGGAATGAAAGCTTTGCTTAGAATGAGTATTTCTGACGAGGTGTATATGTTTGTCTAGCACTGTTCATTCAAACTTTTTAACATTTTTGAATTGGGAAAGTTTTCACCTTTGAATGTATTATCAACCGAGAAGACTACAATTTTAGAAAAATAATATGCAGAAAACATTTCTTTTAAAGATGGGAGACTTTTCAGATTTTAAAAATGTCAGAGATGATGACCTTAAGTATACCAGAGTTCTGTAATTGCAGATTGCCTGAGGTTTATGAGGTTCAGAACCTTCTACATGTCTGTCTTTCTCTATAGCCTCAAGTTATATGGGCTAAAGAGAAGAAAAATGAGATTAAGTATTTTAATAAAAAGAAAAAAAGATGAAAATGATCATAATTGAGTCTTTATAAGTGTTTGGATTACAACAAACTTATGGCATCTCATCTGAATTATATATGCTTTGCATATTCATTGAGATTTAGCTATAAAATTCATACTAATAATCTGTTTTGAAGAAAAATAGTTTTGCTACAGTACATAAGAAAAATTAAGTAGCTGCTTGAAAGTTTTGGTTTGGAGTAGAAAAAGTGAATTCCAGAAATCAGCTTCAAAGTTCTTAATAGGAATTCTGAGTAAAAGAGATAAAAATTCGAACAAGAGACAATGTGGCATATTGTAATAATGAGAGTATTTCTAAATACTGTCTCACCTGTAGCTGTTAGATAGAAAGGAGTGAGACAAAAATTCAGACTTCAACAGTATATTAAATATTTTAACTACATTTTAACATACCAAGCAGTGATCTTTTAACTTCAGTATAGCTGTTTAAGTGAATGGAACTGCTCACCTGAAAATATGTTGAACTGTTTACATATTGGAAAGACATGGAAATATTCTAGAAATCAATTATTTAGAATTGAAATGTTTTAGAGAGCACAGTATTCATCTATCATTATAACTTGCAAAGTGTTTTATGAATTTGAAGCAGGTACATTAAGGAAATGACTACATTATACCATATTATACACTATGTCTTCAAAAGTTTTTATCTGGTGTTTATTTTCACAACTGTTGTTCATAAACATATACATTCAAATATAGAAAACACAGACCTGAAATCGTCAACAACCTTGTAAAATGTAAAAAATTAATTTATAGGTTCAGGGAATTGCAAGATGGAAAATGAAATCTCGAAGATAAGAGAAATACTTACCAAATCATTTACGTCATGGTAAAAGTTTCCTTTCCTCCAGTGTGCCTCCAGGTAAAGAAGCAGACGATTTCACTCAACTTCTGTTTAGAGTTCATGATGCACGTGGTTGTATTTTTTGAGCTTTTATTTCATGAAGTCGTTTAGTGCTCCTGTTTTGTTATTTAATCTGAATTTTTGTACATAATATTAAAAAAATAAACTTTTAATTTCAGGGCTTATTAATGCAATTGTCATGATTTTACTGCTTGCAGTATTAAGAAATGTAAAGCCATTGCATAGATGGTAATGTAAAAAGTGGAAATTTTAGAAAAGATGGAGTTACTCCTGAGTTTATAGCAGAATCGTATGTAATTGTGACACAGACTGCATATGATATACGGAAAAACAAAGAAAAGCTGTTGAAATTTTACAGCAACAATGATGCTAACACTGGAATCCCAAACTGGAAAGCTTTGCACAAGGCGAAATCGGCAAACCCAGATGCCGTCGTGTACGAGTTGTTCTGGCAGTTGCGGAGTGATGGAGTACTAATTTTAGTATCCCTCCTGAGAGAAAAGGGAAAACAGATTCATGCTGATTTAAAAATAGAGGAGACATGAGATTTCAGCAGTGATTGGCTGAACAGATTTAAGCAGACACACGGTGTACATTATCTGAAAGCCTGTGGGGAAAATTTTCAGTAGATAAATATGCTGTAGAGGAATTTATTGATGAATTTTCTGTGCTGGTGGCAAAATAAAATCTTATCCCAAAACAGATTTTTAACTCTTTGCGGCACAGTGTATCCAGTCTGGACACACCTAAAAATTTCCTTCTGTACGCACAGAAAAATTGAATGAAAAAGGATTTATAGGTTACTCTGAACCTTCTTTATTTATAGTAGATGGCAGCTCAACACAAACCAGTCCATATATTTTAGCCATGTTTAGTTTTTTAAGACACTCATTTTTCAAAGAAATCTTCCAGATTCTTTTTAGGCTATAAAAAGAATTGTTTGAAAAGAAATTTCTATGTAATTTTTTGGCTGTATGCTAATCTCTTTATTCTATATTAGTTTTAAATTTTTACCTTGAAATTTTGCCCAGACCGGGCTCACCGATAATCTAGGACAACTGAGAGTCTGTATTATTTGTTTCTCCGCATCTCATCGGTCAATTTATTGACAATTGCTCATTTCAGCACTCTTTTTGAAGCTCTATTCAAGCAGTGTGCCCACTTTGGACTCACCCACAGAATTAAAACGATAAGTGCAATCTTCACAAAGTTTTACTTATGTATTCCTC